TTAACTGATCCCTAACCCAGTCCTCATCAACTGCGGCAAACTCCTCAGTAGCGTCTTGTTTGTCACTGTTACTGTCTGCTGCTTGTTTCTGTGACTATCGCTGAGCAGACACAAGTGTGGGTGTTTCTGCTGCTTTTTGTGGGACTTTTGGAGTATTTTTGTACAAATGCCTGTTGCTTGTTTTATCAATCTCTCACCTCTTGTGATTCAGCCTGAACAATAAGCACACCAGGGCAAATGTTACACAGGTGAAGACTGTGTGTGATTGTGCTTCTTGTAGTCTCTGTTCTAAATATGCTTTTAGAGAAATGATAAACTTCTGCATGTTTCATGATCTGGCTCCAAAATGTGAACAACAGAATAAAGATGCTGTCTTTACAGTGTTTTGGGAACGATATTTCAGTCTTTCTTCAAAATTTCTAAAGCAAAATTGAGTAAGTTCATACTTGAAAGCAGACCTCCTTCTAACCTACTGTCAAATCTGGATCATTTTGTAGTTCACTGCTTCCCTTAATTCTGAACGGTCAACAGCGTCATTGTTTTTACTGTTGGTTTTGATGTAGGATGGTGGTATTAGAGACTTTTAAAGCAATGTCAGAGTTCTTTTCCTGCACACACTCTCCTGCTACTGTAGTCCACTGATGCTAGTAGCTTTTCTGAGGCTGTAGGCTCAGCTAGATCAGAAAAATTTCCTATCTGGAAAGAGGCAAGCAGGAAATTTGCTGTTGTAGGTAGTGTAGGCTAAGGGCCGATGGCCTCTGAATGGTTGAGTCAGCTCATGGGTTTATAGGTGCTACACTGGGGAGTATTTTTAATACGGTATCTAGAGCTGCCAGATTGTGAGACTGCCTATTTCAGTGAGAAAGCGATGATAGTGTTACAGTGAAAGCTGTCAACTGCTATTACAGTGTTAGTGCTAGAGTAATTAGAGAGCTAATTACTTGTGTTCTACTAAATGTAAGCATTGTATTAAATGCAAATATTTTTTTATTGATTGGAAAATAAGATTGAGCAACTGTATCTTGGTATGACAAAGGAGGTGGTTCTTCTGTGGATGATATCACTGATGCCAGTGTCAAACTCCATTTGAAGGAGTAAGTGTTGTCCCTGATATTAAGATTCCAGTGTGGTTTTGTAATTTCATTTTTTATGTAGGTGTGTGCTAATGTTTAAGTCTTTCTTTCGGTCACAGCTGGTTCATGCAGGTGGATTTAACAGTGTGGTTGGCAGCCTGCACCTCTAGCACGCTTGCGCACAGCAGGCGTGAAACTGAGAGATTTTGGTCTCACCATTTCTGCCAGTGAGATTTTTAAACTGTGCTGTGGGTCAAGTAGGATTATCAATGTGAGAACAGGCGGCTGCTGGCTGGTCACTTCACAGCCTGTCCTGGCTGCCAGGAGAGGGGCAGCCAGCCACAAGGTCCCGTCCAGTGTCAAATGCTGTTCCTCACATTGGGCACACTGCAGGCATAAGGCTTCTGTGTGATCTTCCTTCCCTCAGCAGAGGCCGAGTAACTGATCTTCCATGTTGCAGCTTTGTCTTACAGCCAGTGTTTTTATCTTACATGTTCCTGAAATTTTAGACAGGAATTATTATAGTTCTTTATTTATGCACTGTTAAATAAGTGGTTTACCTGTGAATAGATCCATGTGATTGTGGGTAACGCCAAGCTTTTTTTGTGCTCTTCTTGGAGACAGAGGTCAGATAAATTTAAAGATATGCTATTTGGGGAAACTTTAAAATTGTCCAGGGATTTTAAAAGGAAAAAAAACCCAAACAACAAAGCAACCTGCAACTATTTAACATCTGAGATGTGATTCTTCAGGACTAGACTAAAACTGGGCCAACAGCAGATCTCTACCAAGAAAGGAACAAGGATCACACTGATTCTTCTCCTGTGGGTTCCTGCAGTCATAACTTAAGTTAAAGGCTGCTTTCAGATTATACAGTCTAATAGCTATAGACCTAACCCCTTTTCTCCTCCTCCTTCGTGGCAGGAAGCTGCTAGTTTGTGTACGCTTTCAGTGGATACTTGGATCTCTGTCATTTGATATGCAGAGTAGATGGGTTAGCTGGTCAGTCAGAGTGAAAATCTTTATGATAAGAAAGTGGGGCAGCTTAGTGTTCAATAGCACTTGCTAAAATAGTGTTTCCAAAGCTTGAGTCAGAAAACGTCATTAATTTGCTAGTTAATATCTGCTAAATGCAGTATGCTTCAGTGACTGTTTCTGCATTCATCTGTAAAGAATTTTGGTTTGTGCTGGAAAAAAATTCTAAAACTGAATTTACATAAAGCAAAAGAGAAGTGTGCACTTTAAATTGGCAGAACTAGTCTAGACTTGTGTAACTGAATGTTGTGAGTTAGATACAAATACATCGTGGTTTCATGATGAAAGTGATGTGTTTTCTAGCCACAATTGAACTTTGTAGAGCTAAGCTATCAACTTCAGGTATGCCTTTCTTTTGTAATGGATTGAGTTCCTCTTGACTGCCCACTGAGGGCATTAACATCTCGGTTCAGACCGTGAACCTGCTTCTGATGTGATCTTCTGAGGGTCCCCTGTCCTCATTATTGGTTCACTCTAGAGTGACCCATGTGCCTTTTGGACAGGTGTTAACTGGGAAACATGCTCTAGTGGCTGGCAAACAGTCTGGTCAGTCTGCAGCTCGTCTCCTGTGAACATGAGTGAAAGGCATCTCATGTGGCCATCAGGTGCTCAGAAGCAAGTATTTGATCTACAGCTCTATTCCTGGGTGTGCTACTGCCTTGTGTATGCATAGCTTGAGAGAATTTCACCTAGGGAATCAGCAGGAAAAAATGCCACCGTGTCTCTCTCTTTGTACATACTTTCCTCACCTTTTGTCACCCGCAATAAAATGGAAGAGCATTCTGCACCTCACCTGTGTGTAGCCATTTCACTTGTACAGAGAATAATAGCATATTTAAGCTAAGCAAACTCCTATTTGTTATCAGCAGCCACTGGCTCAAGTCCTGGAGAAATGTGAAAGAAGATACACTAATGTTGCTGTAGCTGTTAAATTCTAGCAGTAATCTTACCCCAAACTGCCCATTTGTCCCAGCTTTCTGTTCGTAACCCTGAAGTACCATTGCATCGTACCCTCTTGCCTTTCGTGCAGAAACACAGCCACGTAACTTGCAAATATGAAAGTCAAATGGGAGATTGCACATGTTTTTGGAATATCCTCTAGCCACGATGCATAGCAGTCATGGATACAGCACTTTGATTGAACCGGATGCCAGTGACACATGCATTACCTGCTCTCTCCTTTCCGGTAATTGCATGATTCGTTTTACAGCAAGCATTTAAAAACACTGAAAAAGGAGACAGCAACTTTCTTAAGGATGTAGATATCAAAAAATTTACTCGATAAAATGATGTCAATGCTTTTGTTTGTTTGCTGTAAAGCAGATTACATTCTGTCAATTTACTCCTATAATCATGCTAACTGTCTTAATTTGTGAATTGTAAACTCTTTTGCAGACTCATGAGACACAATTGTGCTGGGGTGGAGTAGCTGGGACTTAGAAAATCAAAAAACACGTGTGTGGTGGCTAAATGTAAGGATGACTCAGCTGGAATTTCTGATGACGTTGTGCAGTCAGGGCACGTGGCTCACCCACGGCGTCTCACAGCCGCTGCTTTTTCACGAACCACTTAGGTGACCCCTGTGCAGATACACTGAAACTTCATCAGGCATTTTTGTTGTTAACATTTACCAGTGTTAATTTCCTTGAATTGGCGGTATTAGGTTTGGAGATACTTTTTTTTTCAACTGACATTAAAAATGATAAGAAGGGAGAAGACTTTTCAGAAAGCTATGGAGTTAGAGGAGAAAAATAACAGCCATGTGTCCTGTGCATACTGTCTCTTGTATCTAACCAAGAAAGAAGTCCTAGATTCTGAAAGAAATTGAGAGGGAAGTGTGGAAGGAATATGTTTTTGTTCATACATTTAAAAAATATTTTCTTTTTAAACAACAACAACAAAACATCTTGACACAGAAAGGTAGTTTTAAGGGGAAACCTACTCTATGACCAAAAAAAATCTGATTAGCCACAAGTTGAAATTTTTGCAAGTTACATTCTTCTATTTTCTTCCCTTTGTGATAATGTTTGAAACTGTTTAATCAGTGGAAGATGGTGACAAACAAGGATCAAAGTGTGGTGATTCTGAGTAGTGGGATCCGTTTTCAGCTTCAGCGTTGGAATAGAGGGGACAGGCATTACAGCTCCTTGTGGTTCTGTTTCCTCATCTATAAAATGTGGATTGTGGCACACACTTCTGTGACCAGCTCAGGCTTTTATAGAGGAGAGGGGTTACTGACTGCCATTGTGTCCCAGTCGTGGTACTTGTATTCTGTGCAGCTGTAAGCCGTGAAACCACCTGAAAAAACGTTTTGTGACTGGAAATGACACTGGAGTTGACAAGCTTTTGGGCATGGGATTGTTCTCTTGGCTGTGTGGCTTTTCAACAGAAGTCTGTGAGCTGTGCTTTGGCTGTTGAATACAGTCAGTCTGCAGTGGTGGTATCTTGGTATTGCATCGTTCTGTTGGAGAGTCAGGGATCTACAGCATTTGAGAGAAACTGTCCCTTGTGATAATTTTACAGCAAAGTCGGTAATTTTAAGGTAAAATTTCCTGCAAGAGATTTCCCTAACAAAAGCCAATCATAAATATGGTATGAAAGTTCATGATGTAATGTGAATGGTGATCACATTTCTGTTACTGCAAGTGTCGGTTTTGGTTTGACTGTATGGTTGTTTATCTTGTTTTTGAGAGTCACGTGTAAGAGAAATAGGAAAACATGGAATTATACTGCTTTACATTTCCTTTTGTTGAGTAGGAAATGAGCTGCACGGGCGAGCCTTTTATGAAGTTCTGTGTCCTGTTATGAATTACTAGAAAGTGTCAACTGGGTTTGCTGCAGGCAGCTTGGGAGCTATGAGACCGCTTTACCAATAGTGAAGGGATGTTATCTTATGCTGTTCACTTTTACTGTGTGCCAGGTAGTGTTTTCACACTGAAATTTGGGAATGCGGTGTATGTGGGTATTTATACATAGAAGTGCAGTGGTTATAATGGTAGGTAGCTAGCATTGTGTTATTTTTCTGCAATAATGTGAAAAACCTTGATTAATACTGTTAAAGATCCCAGTATTGGATTTGAGTGAGTTATATGTAATGGTAGCTATGTATAACCAACAAAAGTGACACTAATGTCACTTTGTGAAGGTGTAAAATTTCTGAGCTACGAAAAGTGCAATAAAATTAGATATATCACAAAATGGAGCCAGTTTAATACAAGTATAAAGTAATACACAATAAGAGGTACAGACTAAGACAGTGGCTATTTCTTTTTTTTTAAATACTGAAGTTCTGTGTTTGCTTTTTCTTTAACTGATCTGTTTTCTCTCCCCAGGACTGGAATCTGACATGGCACACAGAAAATCCAGACTTCACCCCGTGCTTTCAGAACACAGTCCTGGTCTGGATTCCTTGCTTTTACCTGTGGATCTGCTTCCCAGTGTACTTGCTGTACCTTCGTTATCATGACAGGGGATACATACAAATGTCAAACCTCAACAAAGCCAAAACAGTACGTGACTTCTTAAAATCAGAACTCATTAAGCTTATCTGGAAGTTTGAGTCTATTTTCAGCTATGTTTTAGTACGCTGTTTTTGCTGAGCATCAGTCTTGGCCTGTGTGCACACTTGAGCTGTAACTTGTTCTACTCGTGTTTGATTTGCAAGCCTTATGTGTTTCCGTTGCCCTTTTATTAGTAGGCTTTCTGAAATTTATTCTGACATAGCAAAAAAACATGCAAATCTTTTGTAAGACCAGTTGGAGAAGAGTGCTTCAAGGCAACTCAATCCTGAGGCCTTTATTTCAATAATTAAAAGAATTTATTATCCTGTCAGCTTATGAAGTTACACAGCATAGATTTCTAGAGCTGCTGTAGGTGTTCTATTCCAATGCTATTGTGAAATAGATACTTAATGTTTTCTTCCTTCCCCTGCCCTGTAGAATAGGAGAAAAGTTTTAAGGACTGTAATAGCATGGTGTACTGGAGAGTTTTTGTCTCTGCAATGTGTTACTCAGTAGTGAGATTCACCAGCTTTCTGCTTCATAATACACTGATTTATATGGTACTAAAAATTAATAAACTTCTTTCTTCTAGTGAGGATCCCGTAGGTAAAGCAAAATTACTCATCTTTTGTGGATGTTGTAGAATTGCACAGAAGAGATGATCTGATTATGACTCCTCTTCTACTACCACGTAACATCTAGTGTGTATATGTATATTGTGCTGCCTGATCTCTGTGAGCTCATGTATGAAATACACGTTTGTATTGCAGGCTATGGGCTTAATCCTGTGGATAGTCTGCTGGGCAGACCTCTTCTACTCTTTCTGGGAAAGAAGTCAAAATATTTTTCTTGTTAGGCCTACAGTGTTGGGTGTGACAATGGTAAGTTCTTCTGTTACGGCCTTTGTTCATGCAAAACCTTAAGCAATAACACACACCTTAGTACTATTCACAGTGTTGTAATTCTTTATGCTGCAATCCTTATGTACAAACTTAATCTGCAGGTGAACTGTGAAATAGTGACTCTGAAACATCTGCTTTCTTTTAATAAAAAATTAGAGAAAAAGCCCCAACCCAGCTGTACGCAGCGCATCGTTGCATGTCAGCACACAAGCCTGTTGTTTTGCCTTATCTTAGTAAGCTTGAGCTACCGTTCATTTAACAGCTTGACCCAAGCATGGGGTGGAGGAAATCAAGTTGAGAGAACTGATTAAACCTAGGTAATACAAATCACACTGAGCTTGGTGAAAGACTGTTGAAGGCATTGCATTATTAAGTATCTTACTATGAACTCTCTTGCATGTAACGTTCTTTTAGTGCCTATTTTCTTTGTTACATTTGATGTAGAGTGGGAAGTCTTAAAATGCTGTGAGGGCCATAGATGTCCCCATCTAACTCTTTCTACCTGGATGCACAAGTGTTGTCTGCTTTCACAGAAGTATCTCTGCTGCCTGCATTTTGAGGAAAATGCCTTCCCTTTTGTTGTCATTTTAACCAGCTCCCAGGTGTGCTTATCTCGACACTGGCATCCTCTTTGACACTTCCATTAATGTCTCGAGCCACTGTTACCAGGGGTGCACCCAGAAAGCTTAGAGGGCCATCTCCAGGCAAGAAGTTACATGTAACACTGTGAAAATGGAGATAGGAAAAGAATATAAGTGAGGCTTCTATATAACACAATAAAACTACGAGTGAAAACTTGAATGTATTGACCTGAGGCGACCAAGGATATAAATCCTTTCACATGATACAGCAGCTAACTGAGATTACCAAGTTGTACCAGCTTCCTAACGGACTCTGAAAACACACAAAATACAGACATAGATTAATACTTAGTCAGTGTTGTTTGGCATTGTGGCTTGTAGCAAAAGAAATCTTTTTACTTTAAAAAGGATTAGTCAGGAAATACTTGGAAAGGATATAGTGTCATTATAATTGCATGTTGATTTGTGATATAGAACCAGAAAAGTAAAGAAATTAAGACTGGCAGCTTTTGACAGTGCTTTTGTATATGTGGTCATTTACTTCAATGTAATACATATTCCTTTTCCCTTTTTTGTCAACTTCTTGTATTTACTGCTCCAGAGGCTTCCCCATTTAAACGAATTTTTAGATTACACTTAAAATCTGTGGTGGTTATAATGTCTGAGAGATACTGGATTTGAAATACGAAGTAAGCACACTTTAACACAGTACCTAGTATATGTGTATAACGTGTTGTAAAACTTAAAGCTTGTGAATAATTTGTTTTTATTTGTCCACAGTTGCTTGCCACATTTTTAATACAATATGAAAGAATAAAAGGAGTCCAGTCTTCAGGTGTAATGACGATTTTCTGGTTCATCTCATTGTCATGTGCCACAGTAGTTTTTAGATCCAAAATAATACATGTCTTAAATCAGGTAAGTGATTGCTAGCATCATTCAGTTGTAAATAATCCCAAATGCTGCAGATTACTGAGTAATTGCTGAATAATTGCAGGGTTGTTGCTTGCTAATTATGCCGGTCAAATCAGTTAATGATCCATTCAGTGTACCTTCCTTCCTTCCTTAGGCTATAAAGGCAAAACAAGCAAGACTTAGTGGCTCTTGTTCTGAAATTCGTAATTATCTCAATTGTAGCAACAGTTGCCAAGAAAATTCTGCTAGCTGTTCCAGAAAGGGGATGCGTGTTCTAGAACACAACAGACATGTGTCATCTTTGATACAAAGCTGTTCTGGGAGTTTACATCATCTTCCTGGTGATTATACAGTGGATTTCCTTGATTTGATGGTAATGTGGTATCATCTGCTGAGACAAAATGAAAGTGTACAAGTGAAATACTTTCATGTCAGTCTGCGTTATAGTAAGACCGCCTCAGATACCAAATTAATTGTGGAGCTGCCTGAAAATGGCATGTCACTTTTATTTCTTGGAACCTTTAAGCTGTGTTGTAAATTTTGAGAACTTTTCAGCCAACTTTCGTCTTTAGCTGTTGAGAGTGGGATTTCACTGGTGGATGGGTAGGTGGGGGTGTGTCCGTCTGTCCCTGTGCTTTGATTTCTGTGAATTACGCTTTATGTATCAGTCCCAGTCTAAAAAAAATGGAAGAGCCTCTGGAATTTGAGCACAACACAACAAATTGTAACCTAAATTCTACTCCTCTGATTCTCGTTTTCTGTGTGCATTCTAATTAACAAATTGGATTTGAGAACTCTTTATTATCTAGTATATAAATGCCTTACTCCTGTAGAGAATATCTTGACTTAAAATTGGGGCATGCTGTTTGTTGTTAAAATGTATCTTAAAGAGAACTTCTCTACAGAAGACAATTTATGACAGTGATTGATTTATAACTAAAGTATATCTTTAATTTCTTCCCCTCTCTCTTTACTTTACCTTTACCAAATAGGCATTGACTTTAATTTGCATGGGGATGGGTAGTGTAACATTTATGTAGTTTGCAGAATTTACAATAAGGAGCTGTTGTTAAAGAAATTCCTCAAGTCTTGTAATTCAAATATTGCCTTCCTTTGTAGGGTCCTGAAGTGGATGCATTTCGTTACGTCACCTTCTGCATCTACTTCATCCTGTTACTTGTACAACTCATCCTGTGTTGTTTTCCAGAGCGACCACCTTTGTTTTCTGAAACAGTAAATGATCCTGTAAGTGTTCAGTCTGTACTGAGTATCTTACATGCAATATTCTGTACAATGAGTTATAGGGCTATAGTCTCCTAGATGCCAAATAATTCAAAACTTGTTGGCTTGTTTGCAGTAGTGTTCTTTTTGCTCCTTAGTGGGAGGTTCAGAAGATGAAGCCCATAACGTGCAAAACGGGGAAAGCTGCATTTAAGAGAGCAACAATACTGTTTCAGTCATTCCTGAATAGCATTCCTGAAGCTTAAGTCATATGTATTTATATTCAGTAGTGCTTCTGGCAGTCAGAGGGAAATAGTGACTTGAAATGCTGTCCTCCTGGTCATCTGATACCATTCAGTAGGTGTTAACTCATAGGGATGTATATTCCCTTGTTACCAAAATATTGGCTCAATATCTTTGTAAGACCAGTCTGCAGGAGTCAGAAAGCAAGACACTCTTTAATTCAGCGCTGGGAGCATACATGAAAGCATTTCATAAATTGAATGCTCCAGGTATTAGTGGTTGCCAGTAGCTTATATGTGCCTTACACACACACATTCATGACATAATAGTTTACATGTATGCTACATTTCCCATAACTAATTAAAGTATCTACATACTAACTGTGCACGCTCGATTAGCATGCGGAATGGTCTTCCAGTGGTCTGAGGAATGGTCACTTCAGCTGTGTCTTCATGGAGTCTTCTTATCTTTCAGGTTTCTGTGCTTTTGTTTTCACAACGCCTGACTCCTCAAGTTGGCCTGAGTAGGGCGATTCATTAACTTCTTATCTGTGCCTCACAAGGCAGAGTCAGCCAAGTGGGCCTCAGGCACTAAAATCTATTATCCTTATGCAGCTTCTTTCTAGCTAAAGTTAGTCAATAAGAGTATAAGAATACTTCTTATATTATCCAGTCTGTCAGGTTACACCCTTCCTAGTGAAGGTGGAGAAGAACCTACACCAGGAAAACCCATGCATCTGGATAGACGCATTTCATTTCCACATTTACCTCTCTTGAGTCAAGCAAAAATTTAACCAGCTCAATTGCAAGAGCAGTTAACGCTAGAGGGTGGCCTGGATGTGGGAATTTAATTTTATCTAGACATGATCTTTTTGTGTCGGTTCTTAATTATGGCTATATGGCATGGATCTAAAGTGCAAAGGATGCTGGATATTGTACTGCTTGCTTGGCCCTGGGCTAAGCCTTATAAGTCATGGTGGAATGACACTTGTCACTGCCTGGAGTTTGGATGTGCCATGTTTAGAAACCTCAGTTCTCTATATTTTTGTAAGATGTAATTCTGGTTTGAAGGTTGTTAGGTGGCACTAACTGATGAAGGAAGGTGTGAAATGTGTGAAGGGGTCGAAGTAAATGTTGCCTTTGTGACTGTGAAAAAAGGTCCGTGGCCAGCCGCACTTAGTACATTCCAGTTACATTCTCTGTTGGTATCCAGTGTGCTTGTGTTACTGTGAGCAGGCAGTCTGTGTGTATGTGCCTGAAGGGAAGAGTATTCTGCTGAGGCTTTGGATCCTCTTCATCTTCAGGTTCTTTTCATGTAATTCAGGGCAGAAATGTATTTGATGGTGTATCATGGATTTATGAAAGCCTTTTCTGCTTTGACTGTGCTTACAATAGTTACAAGGTGCCTTTGTTTTTGTGTCCTGAGTATTTCTAGGAGTGTCCCTAGGAAGTAGGGCAGGCTTAAAATTTTAACCTTTTTTTCTTGAGTGGTGTGTTGAATGTTACGATGGGGAAATGAACAAAGCAAGTCGTATTAGTCTGTCTTAAATTTTGTTTTATTCCCTCCTGCCATGCAATTCCAAACCAGAAATGTTTGTAAGTCTTGAGTGAAACCTTACTTAAGGCTAAAAACTACAGTGAAATTTCTAAGATGTAGATGCTGATGTGTATAGAAGTCAAACAACGTGTATTGTCTCATTTTCATGTTGTTTACACTACATACGTCCAGACTTGCTACAACTTGCCTTCATTCTGTCTGTCATGAATATCAATATAATTAACAGTTCTTTGGTGATAACTATTTAATTTTATCAAAAATAGTATTATTTTAACAGTAATCTAATGTGTTTTAATGTTTTAAAATTTGCTTTATGCAAATGAAGTCCAGTTTTTGGCAGTACTAGATCTTGTGAACTCTTGAATTTAGAGTTTCCACCTGCAAATAGATAAAAAAGTATATAGGAAAAAAGTAATACAGCATTTTTTGTGAAGTTCAGAATGTTTTGAAATTTTGTTGAAGATGAAAGTATTCCCTGTGTTTGCTGAAGTAGAAATCTGTCTGCTGGGAATGTTGGTGTGGCTGAAGACTGAAAGTTCTGCCCTCCCTGCCCTGCCTTTTCTATTTTTTTTTCCTTTCCCTGAGTTTGAAATCTCTAATAATTCATTAAACAATGGTGCTGGATTTGCTTACAATCATTTTGTTGCAAGTGTTTAAGTACTCTGGAAATGTGGAACTCTATCCCCTTTCAGAAGAAGTGTCTGTCTCACACATACACATTGCTCCCTACAGAGCTGCAAACAAGTTACGAATAACGGAGGAAATGCAGGAGTCTGTTTCATGTAGCGTGGTTACAACACACTTCAGTGTAGCTTAGTGGAGAAGTCAGGTTACACAAACATCAGTAGAAAAATGCAAATCTTGTTTTAATTGCACTACTTGTTTTAATCGCAGTACTCTAATGATGTTTGGTGACTTTTGTAGATGGAAATACCTGAGTTGCTCCGATAGTTGATGGTAAAAACCTAGTGGTTTGTCTGCCAAAAGAGGGACTGGTTTTAGCATTCTTTAGATGCTGTTCAGAGCAGTGAGAGAGGGAAGAGAAAAATCTGCACTGGAATTCTGCAATAAATCACCTTCAGTGCCTTTGAAATTCTTCCAGCCTTTGTTTCTGCTGTTTTAATGCAACCAGATTAGGAGAGGATGTTAACCTCAAGAGTAGTTAAAACAGAGAGTCATTGTGCTGGATGTAGAACACAGCTAGCTGTGTACCTTTAGGCATACTTAAGTTTCCCATGCTTGATGAATTAGGGGCTGTTTATGGGGTTTACACATTTTTTTCTCATCTGTGCATTTGTTTTGTTGGATTCACATCACTTAACTGCTACAACAGTAGAAGAGAATTTTTAATTTATGACTAACTTTACCCATTTAATGTATTTATGCTCTTATTGGTAGCATACCTTGCATTGATACAAGTATGTGAGAAACGTGCTCCCAAAATGCAGTTTTAAGCGTCGCATCCATTCTGTGAGGCAAAGGTTTCTTGGCAGCACGCTGGGTGGGTGCATTCAGGAAGTGAGGTGCCTGGAAAGCTCCCCTGCCAATCGCTTGAGGTTTATTTATAGTAACATTCGTTATCATAGCCACCCATTTTACAAAGTTATTTACATACTCAGCAGTTTTCCGGGGAAATCTTTCACCTCAGTTTCCGGCCGTTGTCGCGTGCGCACTCAAATCCTGGGGTGGTCGTTGAGGGTCGCAGGGATGAAGGCTCAGAGTCTTCATCATTGTAAACTTTGCACCTTGGTTGTCTCTGTGGAACCAGTCGTGATTTAAGCCGGTTTCTTGCAGCTCTGTCAGCTCCTCAGTTCCTGGTCTTCAAGGATGTTCTGCTCATCTTAGCTTTGAAGCACCCCCCTCTCTGTCTTGGAGATTTCCCTCTGTCTGTGAATGTAGAAATCTTCCAGGCCTTGACAGATTTACGGCCTTCGCAAATACTCCAGAAGTTACCAACTCCATCTCAATCCCCCCCTTTTTTTTCGTTTCTATACACAATGAGACTTCTTTCACTTTCCACTGTACCCCGTTACCAATGGGGGCTTGACTGATTTTTTGGTAAGATTCTCATCCTGTTATGTTCCAAAGTACCACGTCTCATAAAACTGATTTCAAGACCCCAGCCTTGTTTCTATACCCTAATGCTTTAACAAATTACTTCCCGCACACAATTTCTCACAGGTAGGCACTGATCGTGACATCTTGAGAGATTGTCTGGCCTGCACTGTCTTACAAAATTCTCTCAATTATTTGTTGCATTGTTGATATGGAGCATATGTTGATATTGCTGTCTCCCCACACTGCTATTCCTGTCTCCCAGTGGTCTCTGTGTGCTGACAGCCTGGAAGCTGGGCTTATGTTTTCTGAACAAGCTCTCAGCAGCATGAGTGACAAGTTTAGTAATGTGGAAAAAAACCCACTATAAACAAAAGGCATTTTAAAGCGTCTTTTCTGCTCAGTTGTTTCTTTTGGCCCTGTATCACTCACTTTGTATGCGGATTGATTTCTTTTTCTCTCCTTTAGAATCCATGTCCAGAGTTCAGTGCTTCTTTCCTCTCCAGAATCACATTCTGGTGGATCACTGGGTAAGGTCAAGATGACGCCTAAAGCACCAGTTGAAGTTAGATGGTATTTTAGGATCCTACTTTCAGAGCTAGCAAAAATCATGCAATAATGATTTTAGTTGTGTTGGTTGGTTGTTTTATAGATAGATTAAATTGATTATTTTTTTCCCAAACTTGATTAATCTTTTTTACTTCCCTTGTAGGGTCTTTGTAATTTTAAATTTTGTCAGTATCTAATTAGTATATTTGCTGGAAAAATATAATTTAAAAACTTATTTGGGCAATAGAAGAAGGGAGAAGTTATCTGCTGTATTTAGGAGCTAAGGCATTCAAAACTGTTAGCTTTTTTTTGTCCCATAGGTTCTTTTTTTTCATTAACTTAGCTTTAGTTATGTTGTATGATTTGATCACGTGTTCTTGTGAGTTAAAACACAGAACCATGTAAAATAATGTTGGTGAGTTGTTGACGTTGGCACTTAGCCAGAGCTCCAACCAAAGGCTGGATGAAGGGAATTGCTCTGTAAAATTAAAGGCTGATAAAGATTTTGAAACTTGGTAGGCATGGGACTATTAATTGCTTGGCTGATTTTCAAATGAGATCACTTCATCCTTTCTTTTATTTTCCCTGAAATTTGAATTCAGTGCCATATATTGGATCCTTAGATGTTTTGGTGTCTAAGTCTCACAGTAAAGACAGGAGGATATGTGTTTTAGTATCTCGACCTGTGTTGCTACAGGTGCTAACTCCTGCATGTGTTATTGTGAAGAGCTGGCTCTGTTTTAGGGCTGGATGTAAGTACCACTGTCGTAATGGCATATATACATACACATATCTCTAGCGTTTTTCAGTATAGAGTGCTGATTCTTTCTAACACAGGTTGATGGTTCGGGGCTATCGGAGACCTCTGGAAGCCAAGGATTTGTGGTCATTAAATAAAGAGGACAAATCTGAGGAGGTAGTGCCAGTTTTGGCTAGAAACTGGGCAAAAGAATGGGCAAAAACCAAGAGGTAAGTTCAGGTATCCTGGCTGGCAGTTCTGAGATGTGGAGGTTAAAAAAACCCAAACTTCCTCAGCCTCTGCTTAGAGGTGTTTGTCAGCAATCTGTGATCAAGCCTGCTTCTGTGAGGCCCGGGTGGCAGCTCCGCATTTGTCCTTAAGTGCATACAGAACAGGAACCAAGTAGGGTGACGTGTGTTGTCTTATGAAGAGCTGTGTCAAGTTTTCCTTAGTCTTTTATGATCCAAAGCTGGTTATTGTTAATTTTGGTGTGTGTTTTTTCCCTGGGGAGTGAATATTTTCACACAGTCAAACTTAGTCATGTAATTTAGGAGCTTGGGCTCCCTCTGTAGTTTGTGAAGCCTCAGGAGGGCAGTTCAGGGTGTAAAAGTGAGAAGCTTGTTTTTCCTTTTACTATACAGGGAGCCAGATGACTAAAATGAGAAAGATGGCATGCCTGCAGTTTCTGTCCTACTTTCATTATCCTTTTCTGCAGCAAATACTATTACCTTTTCATTGAAGGAAAATCGCCTGCTTGCTTACACAGCATATTTTTATGTACAGCTTGTCCTCAGAAGTTTGGAAGTACATAGTTTGGCATAAGCTAGATATACGGAATGAATGTGTTTGGTCCATTTGGTATGACTTGGCATAAATCTGGCTGCCATCTTTTAACTCTCATGGGACAGTGGGGCCTTGATTTTGATGGAAGTTCAGAATACTGGGTTCTTGAATAAATATGTCTGTTGCCCTTTAAGTTTAACACAGGCTACGGCCCTATTCCTCATTCCACAGGGCATATAGGAGAGATTCAGTACGAATGTTACCTATCCCTACAAAGAAGACCATTTCTGAATGGCCAGTTCGTTTAGCTGTGGTGTCATGATTAAAAAGATACTTGATTGGCAGTAAAATCCAGTCAAAATTTTAAGAAGCTCATAAACATGTCATTTGTATACTGTGCTTTTTTCCAGTTGCCTTTATGCTTGAATAAAGGCTACATTATGTACCTACTCTTATTTCAGGCAGCCATTAAACATGCTATACTCTCCCAAAAAGCAGCAAAAATCAAATGATTCAAATGCTGATGCGACAGAAGAGGCTGAAGCTTTGATTATAAAACCATCTCAGAAGAGCTCTGAAGCATCTTTATTCAAGGTGTTATATGAAACCTTTGGACCATATTTTCTCATGAGCTCCCTGTTCAAAGCTGCACATGATCTCTTGATGTTTGCAGGCCCAGAAATTCTGAAGTAAGATTTATGTACTTCATTATAATATTGCAAGTATGTAGACAGAATTTAAAGCATGAGTATTCTGCTCACCAACCTGCAGTGCCTTCAGCTGGTTCAAGAGTGAGAAGTTGTAATACAAGTTAGGAACCATGCACAGAGATTACTTTGGTACATTGGTTTTCAAATTATAACATCATGCATTAAATGTTTGACTTTTTATGTTCCTTTCCAACACTAGGAAGGCCAGGAAGGAACATAATCAACTATAGCAGGAGAGTTTATTCGATTGTAACCTGTAGTGATCTGGGGGCTACAAGTCACAGTATGTGAAGCAGCTGAGGGCTAAGGGTAGATGGAGTTGTATTGCTTTCAGATGAGAAGAAGTAAAACAACTGTAAGTGGTTGTATTTTAGCTGGAGGGAATATGAGACTTTCTAGTGTAGCTCTAAGAGAATGCTGCACATGTAAGGTATGTGATGCTTTATGTTTTAAAGTAGTATTTACACTGTTAGGAAAATAGAGGGATGTGTCCTAGTATAAAATTATCTCCAGTTTCTTAAAAGTTTGCTTAAGTGTTTTATCCAAGTTTGATTCTTGCATGACCCATATAATGTTTGGAATAACCTAAGGTTGTAACCCTGACATTTCAGTTTGATTTGCATTTTTCAAGAGAACTGATTCCTCTCTCCACAGATTGCTAATCAACTTTGTAAATAACAAAACTGCCCCAGCCTGGCAAGGCTACTTTTATACAGGGCTGCTGTTTGTTTGTGCCTGTCTTCAGACACTGATTCTTCACCAGTATTTTCATATTTGCTTTGTAACTGGAATGAGGCTTAAAACAGCTATTGTTGGTGTAATTTATCGAAAGGTAGGTGTTTCTTTAAAGATATCACCATACCTCTCAGTGACTGTGGGAATGCATTGTTTAAGTTTAAATAATTAAAAGCAATTAGGAGACTCTGGTAGGCTGATTCTTAACTCTTAATAGAACTAAAAGAGTATCTGAATTACAAATAAAAGCCTTTAAGATAGAGCAGTTTTGTAATTTATTAGTTAAAGTTCAGGCACCTTCTTCTTCCCACTGCCAAACAAGAAACCTTGTCTCATTTAGTCTAGGGGTATAATACTGCTCCAATTTATGCAGAAATTAAGATGCTTCTATATTTACAGCTTTATTTGGGATTTAGCAGCAGTGCCACCTCATCTTGGAATAAGCAGGAACATTTTTTTAGAAAGCTGTGGACTGATTGCTCTGTGTAAGAAAAATGCGTGACAAGTAGTGAAGATTTTGCTTCTTACACTGAAAACCAAAACAAGCAATAACCCCTCACCAAACAACTGTTCTTGCTTCAAACTATGCAACTTGCATTTTGTAAGATGTGCAGGGCACAGAATATGAATCAGGGAAATAATTGCTTGTAATTTTAAAGGTAAAGCTCTGTAAATCAATTGAATTCTGTGGAGAAAATGCAAATGAGTTAAGTCTACCTGTTGCCTTATTTGAATTTAATCTGCACCTAGGCACTTGTTATCACAAATTCTGCTAGAAAGACTTCTACTGTGGGTGAGATTGTGAATCTGATGTCTGTGGATGCTCAGAGATTCATGGACTTGGCTACCTATATAAACATGATTTGGTCTGCACCTCTCCAGGTGGTATTTGCTCTGTACTTACTGTGGCAGGTAAGTATTGCCTGTTGTTTCCTGTTTTGACTCTGGTAACTGCTGCTTCCTGTTGTCATGACTACAGACAGCTGCTCTTCAGACTCCTGGAGGTTTTACGGCAGTGTGGACAATACGCTGTTTGTTTGGAAGCCATTGAGAGCTGCTTTTGTCACTGCTGTCAAGAATGAAGGCAGAGGTTCTTAATTTGTAGGTCTGAATGCGTGTGGGAAGGATGCAGATGGGAGCTGATATCTTCTGGGGGACTGCAGCAGCTATAGTACATAATTTGTCACTTGATTTAAAGAAAAGTGGCCTTGTTTCTGCACTCTTGAGAGTCACTGGAGATGTTTGCCATTTCTAGTGCAGACAGCCACTGGGCTGACTCTTCTCAATTCTCAACGTCAGTCAGAAAGCCAGTGAAATTCCCCAAGAAGTCGGTCACTCCCTGCATGGGCCTCTACTTCAGAAGAACAGACAAACCAGCAAAAAGTGAAAACCATTAAAAGTTCTCTGTTTGTGTGTTTAGATAGGTACATATAGATTCATTGATCTATACCTATATGTACCTCTCTATACGGGTGCCATATATGTTTGTTTCAAAAATCAAAGCACATAAACATCAACCCAAGCCCCTATTTGATCCTCCTCTTCTTCCTTCAAGTTGTTCTCAAAAGGGGAAGAAGAGGTTGAAAAGCTATTTCAGAATGCATATTTCAGAGTGTATATGCAGTGGTTTGACCCAGTATTTTAAAACATTAGTTTAAATAAATGTTTACAATTAAGTGCTTTTCAGAATTTAGGTCCTTCAGTGCTGGCAGGTGTGGCTGTCATGATCCTTCTGGTCCCCATAAATGCTGTGATGGCAATGAAGACAAAAACCTATCAGGTTAGAACCTTTATATATCCCAACAGATTGCTTTTAAGAAATATGTTCTGTTCTTTGACTTGTTCCTGATGTTTGTTCTTTAATTTTTTTGTCCCGTTTCTCTACTTATCCCTTAAAAAAGGGAAAGGAAGGAAAGGTCGGAGCTGTTATGTATGCAGAATAAACTAACTCACATATTTTTCAGCCTTATAGTGTATCTGTACATAATAGCCTAAAGATTTTGCAGTAGTTAAGACCAAGGTAGCAGGTTAGCCAGCTTCATGTAATGCTCAGTGATTGATTGGAATTAGTTTGATTTCTAACTTGCTGCTGAAGAACTGAAGTACACTACTGTCTGTCTGGTAACTCTTAGTGAGGGAAATACATTGCCAGGATGGTAGTTCAGTGTTGGGGGTTGTGTGTGTAGTTTGTTCTTGGTTGGTTTGGGTTTTGGTTTTTTTTCCTGGAGGGATGAGGAGGGAGAAGCTTTATTTGTTGGCTGTTCTTGATCCCTAGTGGACTTTATGTAGAGAGGATCAGTTTGTTGCAGAGTGCACATAAGTAAATATGGACTCAAACTCTCATGTTTTCTGTTGCAAAAACTACTTCCAACAGCCCCACCGTGTGCTTAGTGGTACAGACTTCGCTACTAACTGATTTTACCATACGTCTAGGAGACTAATTTATTTAAATGAAACCTTTTTAGCTGTAGATGCTGACCAAAATACACCACAGCATTTGGCTCCTAGGTATATCTAGCCTTTCACAGCCACATTGCCACTAGAAATAGCTGTCTGGGTCAGCTGTACTGGTGCAGTCTACTGACTGCTAGTGCCGAGTCAGAGCATCTTCCACTGCTGTCATTTAAAAGTACTTTATGAAGATGGAAACTTCTGAAGAACAGACTTTCTTCTTATGGCTGAATTGAAAGCTTTTTGCTTTAGTGCACCATCAGAAAGCCATGGATGTGAGAGTGAAGTACTGAGAAACCAAGTTTGCTCTAAGGCTTGATTATAGTGGCTTATTTTTTTAACTGCATATTGTACCTAGGAGGATCCAGAGTCCCAGGGCTCCCTTGATGCACGGTTAGTCCCACTTAAACCAGTGCCACAATTGTTTTGATCTTGGTTTGGATTTTTAGTTGCATGAAACATTCTTTTAATTGGTTTAAAATATCTTGTTAATTCTGCATATTTGTTTGTTCAGATAGCATCTCAGATTTCCTTCTTGGGAAGCTAGTAAGCTTTTGATGATAGTGAGGTAAATTTTGCCATTGCAAAATACAAAGCTCAGAACTTTGTGGGTCTGCCAAGTACCGTGCTCTGCTGATTATTTTTTTGCAATGTTGTTTTCAGGTGGCTCAAATGAAGAGCAAAGACAACAGAATTAAACTGATGAATGAAATTCTCAATGGGATTAAAGTTCTGAAACTTTATGCTTGGGAATTAGCCTTCAGAGAGAAGGTATTAGAGATCAGACAGAAAGAACTCAAAGTCCTAAAAAAATCTGCCTACCTTGCTGCGATGGGAACCTTCACTTGGGTTTGTGCTCCTTTTTTGGTAAGTGAAACAAATCTAGACATATGCTTTCCTTTTTGGGATCATGTTTTCCAAGGCAGCGCTTTAGAACTTGGTTGGGTTTTTGTTTGTTTGTTTGTTTGTTTGTTAAATGAGTGCAAGAGTCAGAATGCCGTTCCCAGTGGTGGGAAATTGAACACTTATGTCTCTACTTCTCTATGAAAAGGCACTACTGTTTTCTCTGAAACTTAGTAATATCCAAGTAGGGTGTATTATGGAAGTTAATGGCCTAAGTATTTAAAAAGAAAAACCTCCTCTGCATCCCCCTCTATTTTTAGTAGTGTACTTGAGGAACCTAAGATTAAATATACTGTCGGATTTAGGAGAGGTTACTAATATGCACAGTACCCTTCCAGGTGGTGGCTGTGGCTGACAGAGTAAAACTTCCCTTATTTCAGCATTGAGAGCAGCAGGTCCTTAGATAAGAGTCCTTGATCCAAGGGGGACATTGAGCACCAGGCAAGCTCTGGCCTGGATGCTCCCAGCATCTGTTTAAGAACAATGTGGAGAGATAAAGCCGTTGTGTACCCTGGGATTGCTTTAACTTTTTATATAAAAAATAAAATAGTATTCTTGATATGTGAAGCATTCATTGTGTTCGTTGTTGGCTTACACTTAAACTAATAAAAGGGAGAGAAGAGTGAGATCATATCAAAATTGCTTCAGGCCCTGTTAGAACAAGAGGCCATTGCTCTTCTCTGTGGAAGCACATAAAAGCCATGACTACATTAGGATAAAGTATGTGCTGTTCCAGTTGAAGGTGTTTAAGTGTACTTTCCAGTCTCGGATTCCATCCCAGCAAACATTTTTAGTGTTTACATTATGTTTTGGGCATGATGAAAGACAGAAGCAGCAGTGCCCTGAGTAGGAAACATCAGCTGCATTCTTAAGTGAATGCTTTTCTAAAAGGAATCTGAGATGGTTTTAATATAAATACATTATTAAATGAAGTTTCTAAATAAAACTCTGCAGGTGGACTCCTTAATGCTATTCTGTGGAGTCTGAGAAGACAAATTCACCTAACAAGAAGCTCAGTTTCACTGCACATTGTGAATGTGTGGCAATGGTCCTTGCTTCTTATGGAGTTTGCCACTGGGGCAGGGTCAGTACAGCCTGGAGTGCAAGGCTGCTCTTCAACATCCTGTTTCTCGGATTTTTGTTCTTCTCAACTTCTGATTCAAGAATTACTGCAAGTGCCTACTTGAAAGCACTTTTGGCGTGCAGAACTCTTTTATTTCCTCTACTCCTTCTGCTGTTTCCATGGCCAGGGCTCTTCAAAACGTTGTTTAATAATCGTGTCAGGAAACGATTCATTTTGCAGTACCTCCCCTGCTACTCTGTGTGCTGATAAAGGGTGTATTTCAGACTGATTGTTGGTAACACAAGAGCGCAGACATATCGCTTGTGAGGTTATTCTTTGGACCCTGTCTTGTTTTTGATCTCTGTGGGAGGGCTTTCTCGCTGGGATACTGTTGTCCAAACTAAGGACTGTACAAACAAGCTACCGGACCCTATGAAGAACAATATACGTCTTCACAGCAGTCAGATTTTTAAGAGAAACACGAATGTCTTCAATGGATGCTGTGCTTAGATGAGACTCTTCCTTAGACATATGAGCTAATTGTTTGAAGACCTGTGGAAGGAGAAGTCCCCAAGGTTAGGCTGTCTTGATTTCGTGTTTTGAGTGGCAGCCTGTGGGGAAGAGTTGCTGCATCTTGTGATGTGCTGAGGTATGAGTGTTGTTGCCATGGAAGAAAACACTGTGAAGGGAATAGAGCTGAAAGTGAATGTTTGCTTTTACTTGGCTTACTTTAATTTTACTATAATTTAATAAACACATTTTAAAAAAATGTAAAGAAGGATATAGAATTTTTTTTTAAAATATTTTTATACTTTGTAATTGATGATAACAGTGGTTCGATGCGATTTTCTGGTTCAGGACGGACCTTAAGCTTTTCTGTTGTGAACTGTTAAGGTACTGTAAGGCTTCATCTTCGTAATGCGGTAACATTTCAAGTTTCTTTGAAACAATCTGTCCATGATGAAGTGGGCTGTACTTGGAAATCTAGGGCTGTGGTAGTCTCTACAAAATATAAAATGGGTTAGAGCACTGGCCCAGGCTGCCCAGAGAGGTTGTGGAGTCTCCTTCTCTGGAGACATTCAAAATCCGCCTGGACGCCTTCCTGTGCAACCTCATCTAGGTGTTCCTGCTCTGGCAGGGGGATTGGACTAGATGATCTTTTGAAGTCCCTTCCAATCCCTAACGTTCTGTGATTCTGTGATTCTGTGGTTTCTAACTTTTCTGTCTATGTAACTTACTGATCCAGTATCTGGTGCCATGGGGAATGCCTTAAAAACTGAAAGAGAGCAGAAGGAAAGACTACCGATCATTCCCTTCTCCTGCAGTGTGACCACAAATAGCCTGGGACATCGGTGGTTTCACCCTTGCTATGTGAATAAAGTGAGCAGTTGACACCTTTCCAAGAGGAGCCATCAACTTATTTTTAGAGCAATAGATTAAAATAAAATGTTTGTTTTGCAAAAAGTGTTATCAGGAACAAGAAAGCTGCCAGAACATTGCTGCTCTTTGATTTGTAAACCTCTAATACAGTTACCGGACTGTGTGACTCCTGAGTTAGTAGCTTTAAGAAACGTTACCCTAATTGTAACCATTACACTTTGTTTCAGGTTGCCTTGTCCACCTTTGCTGTGTATGTCACAACAGACAGGAGCAACATCTTGGATGCCCAGAAGGCGTTTGTTTCCCTGGCATTATTCAACATACTCAGGTTTCCACTGAACATGCTTCCTATGGTTATCAGCAGCATCGTGGAGGTAAGGCTTCAGTCATCAACAGGTGTTTCTGCGCAGAGGTAGCCACTGGGTGGAGAGATTACATTCCTGTGCTTAGAGAATGTCCATGGGTGAAATCCAGCCACCTCAGGAAAGGAGCTGTGCATTTCCTGTGTGTTACGTGCTGTGCAAGCAAAATTATCAACCCCAGTTATGGTGGATGGGTGTTCCTGAAATCAGCCATATTTCCTGTGGTTTGGGAAGCGCGAGTTTGATGACTATCCAAGAAACTGTACCATGGGTTTAAGAAGGGATTAGGAGTGCATAATAATGATGTAGTGTGTGTGTGGTGCAAAACAGTAAGCTCTTAAATATAAGAGTATGAGATAGTTTTGCATCCCTTTCCCATGCAGGCAAGTGTCTCCTTGAAGCGCCTTAGGGTGTTCTTGTCTCATGAAGAGTTGGATCCAGACAGCATAATCAGGGGTCCCATCACAGAGGGTGAGTTTCTTTTTCTGTTGAAAATTAAGTGTGTGCAGGTTTTGGGTGGCTTCACAGTGTTCCTTTTGCTTTCGGTAACAAATTTATTGTGTTTTCGTAGATTTCATTGATAGATTTTAGCCAGAAAGCAGAAAGGGAAATTTGTAAAACAACATTTATGTAAAGTTTCTACCACCTTCTCAGTTATTTCTTTCCTCTGCCCGACTCCTGTGTGCAAACTGCAGAACGGTTGTATCCAGACACAGATGGTGACTTTAAAAATTATTCTTTAGACTGTTTTAAGTGTAGCCATTTGAAATCCGTAGGCGGTTAACAGTGATAACTAATGCTGTGCCAAAGCCCAGCATTTTGGAGAACAATAATCATGTAACACTTCAACACCCTTGAAGGAGAAAGGATAAGTCCCAGTTCTGGCAAACGCCTCTTTTCTGTTTTGTGCAAAGAGCGTTGCTCCTGCGGTACCCAGTGTTGTTGGTCCAGTGATATAGAGCTGTTCAGGAGATAGATCAGCATGAAGGCAGATTTGCTGAAAAATGAATGCCCTTTTTCTTGCAAGACAAAACTTTGTTAGTAATTTCTTAACTATTTTCCTACTTCATTTTTACAAACATAGTGAAATCTTCATCACTCCCTCTCATGTGGTTAGTCGAGCTCTATATCATTTTAGTCACTTGGCTTTCTGGTAAGCAGTCCTCTGCTGTGTTTTTTAATTTTTTTCCCCTCTCCTTCTTCCTTTTGGGAATATCTTCTTGCCTTTCTCAGCTGATAACCATGAAAACATTGCTCACAAATCTTCAGTGTAGGGGCTTGTGGGGTCTTTTCCCATAATGGGTTGTACTTGCATATTAATGTAAATATTTACTTAGGCTAAGTATTTATTGCTTGCTTGGTTAAATTAAGAGTCTTATATTTTGAGTCGCCACTGTAAAAATCTACAGATGCCATGTGACATTTCAGTAGACAATATTTTTGGTCAAAGTTGTTTTATTTGGTAGTTTGATTTATTTAGCTGTATCATTGCTGTATCGTAGTAACTTGGCTTCATTCGTGGAATTGGCAGTTTAGCTGATGCTTCCATTGAAGCACAAGTCAGATTAAGGCTGCTAGTTCCTTGAACTGACTTTGCAGTGCTGCAGTAGAGTTGCTGGCTAAAGGAGGTTGCAGCTCAGTAAGTTGGGATCTTTGTGTAGTTGACGTTCATGTGCCTCCTGGTTACTTAGTGAGTGTGACTTCAGAACCGCTGCTGTCTTGATATATTCAGTAAAAGCAGAACATGAAGTTTTTAAGTAGTGGAAAAATAGCTTTATACTTCTGCCTATGTGTGCTTAGATAGACTTCTGTGGCGTGATCCAGAGCATACAATTTAGCTGCTTACTTTGGCACTATTATAAATACATATTTTCTATCTGTCAGTTGAAGGAAGCATTGTTGTAAAGAACGCAACATTTAGCTGGTCCAGAAATGATCCTTTTTCACTGAACAGGTAAGAATTAGTAACCTTTGTTCTACTCCATAATCTTGCTGCATCGTAAATTATCTGCATTTGAATTATAAAATCTGTATGCAGAAATGTTTGTTGCCTTAAAGGAACAGAAGAACAAATAACATTTATTCTATGTAAGTTTTAGATAAACCAGGGGTTTCACGAACTAGAGGAATTTACAAAGTATGTTGTATGTATGGAACGCATAAAGGGAAGTAGCAAGAGAGACAGTAGGAGAGAAGGTCTCAGGGATGTCAAGCTCTTGCTAGGTGCTGCAGATGGGATGAGCTCCATCTAGAGGATGCAGCCAGATAAGCCCCTCGTAATTATCCCTAGTCCCTGATGTCTGCACTATGTGCTCAAGAGTTTTCCTTTTAAAATCTTATTCTTGCTGAATTGTAGCAATCCTTGATTCCCGTGCTGGAGAAAACCAGTGAAGAACCTTATGCACAACATGACTAACAAAGTAACTGGGGTGATGCAGGTACAAGCAGCATCCCTGTGCCCTGTCACCTTCCTTAATTTTGGCTCCTCTTTCCTGGGCCTTAAATTGCATATTCTTTGGGAGAAGGATGCTGTCTGGGATGCATCCATTGGTATTTACATTTGTGTTCACAGAACATTTGAGGGAAATATTGGTCAGGTTGTGTCACAGTGCTTCCCCCAACCCCAACCTTCTGATTATAAGTGCATATGAAGATGCTATGTCCTAAGTATAAGAGGAGCTGGGTGCTTTCTGAATGAGAGGTTTGTATTTTCAACCAATTAAGGTTTCTGTGCTGTGTCAGCATTCACAGTGGGTGTTCACGCTGCATTTGGCTTTATATGGGCTGTTCAATAGGCTGTTTAACTACTGGGATGTGGCAGCAAGCAAGGCTGAATTATGTGCACTTTATTTCAGCATTAATTTCAGTGTTCCTGAAGGCTCCTTGGTAGCTGTTGTTGGTCAAGTTGGCTGTGGAAAGTCTTCACTGCTGTCTGCATTACTGGGGGAGATGGACAAAAAGGAAGGCTGCGTGATTGTCAAGGTGTGATGTGTCTGAATAATTGTTCAGTTACTTGTGGGTGTTGCCAGAAGGACTCTGGATTTCCAAGTGGTGTGAAGAGGGGAAGAGACAGCCTTTCAAATGAATGTCTTTTTTAGCCTGATTTCCAGGCAATCCGTGTATATGTCTTAGCCTTCGCTCTGCATCGTTGCCTGTTAAGTCTTCATGCAACAACTTCTAAATCTGTTGGTTTCAGATTTAGCCAAACAGACAGAATGAGGGAGGTCTCAAAGATAAGTACTCTGGTGGGTCTTGTTGGCAGCCAGGTGTTGAGGCCGGGAGACCTTACTGTACATACTCCAGCCTGAGGACGAGCAGTATTGGGTCATACTTCCGTAGGCATCAGAGAATTGCAAGAAGAGAAGGTAGACCCAGATACCCAAACATGGAAAAAGCTGCTGTGGCAGTTCGTACTTTCTTAAACATTGCTGTTGCACAGAGCTCACAGAGGAAAAATTACCTGGAAGTAAGTAAATAACCAATTAAAAAGTCCTTGTTCTGAACTTTTCTGCTGCTGTAATGTATGGAAAGATAATTATTTTAAGAGCAAAACAAATATGTTGCATTTAAAAGAATGCACATTTAGTCACCTCCAGAATTGTTCTGGAAAAATACTGTAGGTGAGATCTGATCACTGATTATTTGTGCAGAAAGAGACCGCAGAACTAATCTTCAAAGCAAAATACTTTGCACTAGCTCAGTTGTTTCCTTTGAAGTGACTTTTGTATAAAAACTACTTCCCCTACTTTCTGCAGAAGTGTCTTGGCAGGGGTGCATTCAGCACACACTTGCATTCCAGATTAAATTGTCTTATGCAGAACATAATTTATAACTATATGAAAGAACTAATGACTTTTGACGTCCAGTAATTGCACAAACTTACTCTCTCTAAACAAATGTTTCCTCCAAGTTTCTGTTGGTTCTCTAATCATATTTTGTTTGAAGTCCTTTATTTTCCACCAACATGCTTTGTTATGTTCGTTTGTAGAGAAGATTGTAAAAATAACTTTTTGGAGGAGGGTAGCCCAATAACCACTTCCTGCAGTTCTGAAATGACCATAGGCAATTTGTGAGGTAATTAGCACTGGCTGCCTCACAACGCCCTGCTGTGTTTTGACTTTGTGTGCAGACTTTTAGTCTAAAGTACTGAATAAGAAACTTTGTTTTTCTTGCAGGGCTCAGTAGCCTACGTTCCTCAGCAAGCTTGGGTCCAAAATGCAACCTTGGAAGATAACATTATCTTTGGAAGGGAGATGAATGAGAGCAGGTACAAGCGTGTAATTGAAGCTTGCGCATTGCTGCCTGATATAGAGATTCTTCCTACAGGAGACAAAACAGAAATAGGAGAAAAGGTATTTAAATACCCACTCTACCATAACAGTGCTATTGCTTGTAGTTAAGGCCATATGACTTCTATTCTACTTTATCTTAAAGTTGTATTGAAATTAAAACATTCAGAGTAGAAATCCTCTAGAATATGAGTCAAATTTGAACAGTATGTTTTCATTGCCCTTAAGCCTCAAAGGGGAGGAAACCTGTCTTCAATTACAAATGCAAAAGCAATTTTACATGACAATTTTTAATTGTCTCTAAGTTGCCATGGTTATAGAGCAGAAAAAAATGTGTGGAAACAGGAAGAGAATAATCTTCTGAACACTTCAGCTTCATTTAAAACACACAAACGACGTCCATCCACCAATATCCTCCCCCTGCCCCAGAACCCAAAAAAACAAAGTGCTTGGTTGCAAAAGTATGTGTGCTGTGGGAGTCAGAGACTTGCATAGATGCTGTGCTCTGCTATGAGAACTGGACTGGGTGCCTCCTAACAACCTGTATGTGTGTGTCATCTGCTTGGTGTTCTGTACAGCTGGTGTTCTCCAGAAGACAGGGATACGTAGAGATACGTAGTTTGCCTGCTGGTTAGTTACAGGTGGGGTGTAGCTGCCAAGTGACAGCCCCAGATCCAGTAAAGGACACAGCTTTACCTTCCTTATGTGAGTGTGAACAGAGGTCGTTCATTAAATCAGAGGTGGCACTGCAGAAATACAGCTGGGAAGAAAAGTGGCCTCTGCATGTACAGTTAAGAAGGTCAGTCTGGGTAAACTGCTTTACAGGACTAGCAAACGCGTTTTTTTGACTAGCCCGTCACTGACAGTGAGAACTTGATAGACGAGCTTCCTGGCAGGAGGATTTTGGTAGTGACTGCTTATGCCATTGTGGTAGTGAGATGATTTGTGATGGAGGTCTGTTTCATGCAGTGCTGAAATTTCTCTGATTTGCATAAACCACTTATGACTCGTGTATTTCACAACCTGTAGCAAGACATCTCTTTTCAGCTGTAAATAAAATATCATGTTTTCTTGTTTCCCCAGGGTGTGAATTTGTCTGGAGGACAGAAGCAGCGAGTCAGTCTTGCTCGGGCAGTTTACTGCAATGCAGATGTCTATTTATTTGATGATCCTTTGTCAGCTGTTGACGCTCATGTTGGGAAACATATTTTTGAAAAAGTTATTGGGCCAAAAGGGATCCTGAAAAATAAAGTATGTTGTAATGAGATACTTGTCTTTAGAGAAGAATTTATTTTTCTTTGCTGAAAAATTAAAGAATCTTTCTGAAGTTTTTGAGAGGACTTTTATAAAACACTGAGTTTTTAGTAATGAAATGTGCTTTGGTTTCTGTACTTCAAAATGCTTTGATGAAAAAATCAAGACAAGGACAGTATTTTTTCTTAAAAATGCTGCATGTCTGTCCACAGTGCTGTGCTCTACACAGAATTCAAGCAGCAAGAGCAGTAGTTGTTGTCTATACTTTAGTCTATTAGCTTTACTAATTTGGAATGATGACGTGTTAGAAAAACTTATTTTTCTTGTGCTGTTTAGACACGGGTCTTGGTAACCCATGCAATCAACTATCTGCCTCAGATGGATACAATTCTGGTAATGACTGATGGAGAAATTTCTGAGATGGGCTCCTACCAGGAGCTGCTGAAGCAAGATGGGGCCTTTGCCGAGTTTCTTCGTACATATGCTAATGCTGAGCAGAGCGTGGAAGACAGCGGTGAGCTTACAAATACATTCTCTTGGGATAATTTGATGTGTGGCATGTTAAGGGAGTCATATTAAAGGAGAAATAGTAGTAGTGGAAGGAAAGTTAGAAGAAATTACTATTTTTTTGTGATATGCTTATATTTAGAGGTGCTTCTTTCTTGAGGGCATTGGAGGTTGTGAGATTAAGCACACATTCTTTCTTAAAGGTTAGGAAAATGTGGAGCAGTAAAAACTTTCTGCTTAAATTTGCAGGAAGGCTCAAATTTAATAGCGCATGCCTTCTGTTCTTATACCTTCACTCCATCATTCACTAGAATGTCTTGTCATTGCCTCCTAAAATGGAAATAATTTATAGTTAACTGTGTAAAAGATGTGTTCTGAAAAGGAGTCGTTGGATTGGTTGGTTGGGGTTTTTTTGATGGGTTGTTTGTTTATTTGTGGGTTTTTTGGGGGTGGTTTGTGTTCCTGTCCCCCCGCCCCCCTGCCCCAAATGCATGTCCTCATAAATAAACCACATTATTATTACTGACCTACATTTGGTAGAAAAGGAAATGTTCACTGTCATGGCAACTAGTCCAGCTCGGGCTGGAACTAAACTCATTTGTTCTCCTGGTCAATTATCTGTTAGTGTTTGTAAATGCGTACCTGTGTTCCCCCCTTTGTTTGCGCATTAGGACTGCACCTGACATTCAGAACTGAAATGAAACCTTTGTATCTTTTTGCATACCATTTTCATGATTACTTTTTCTCCCCTGCAGATCCAAATAGTCCATCTGGAAAGGAGGGAAAGCCTGTAGAAAACGGAGTCCTCGTGAATGAAGCCCCTGGAAAGCTGATGCGTAGGTGCGTAGCCACTTCTCCCCGCCTTCCATCCTGTTACTCCATCGTGGACAAGCAGTAATTTGGTGATTATGATACTGGTTAGAGGAAAATGTATCATGCTGGATCCAGCTGCCTAAGAGAGGTGAAGCTGCTGCTGCTGCAGGTCCAGCAGTACCTGCTGAAGGTGTACTCTCTGCAGACACACACACATAGAGCGTGCGTGCACCAGATGTGCATGTGGCTGACCACACACAGCACGGACACTCTGAGCACCCACACAAGCACAGCACCAAATGGCCTCATCCTGTTCCCATCTGGCTGAGCAGGATGGAGGTTCACTAGTGAGAATATAACGTGTGTGTTTACAGGGTGGATCCCTCCACGAGCTGGACTCAGACACTCGTTCTGCCCAATAGCTGCCCCTGCATCCCAGTCTCCCCATTTGCTAGCCACCTGAGCATACAAACTTCTGAGGCTGCAGCCCTGCTCCAGTTGCTGGTGCAGACTGTTGTGCATGCACGTCTGCACACACAGACCTCTCGTGCTACTCTTCATTCCATGTGAAGAAACAATGGCGTTGGAGAAAGATACCGTGGGTTTGGCTCACATAAAGTGGAAAGTATTGTATTGGCTAGTACAGCTTTTACACACTTTCTCAAGGCTCCTGCAGTTGACTGCTGTTAGACAGAGTGAAGTGTTAAGTGGACTTTTAGTCCTAGTACAGCTGCTATTATCACAGAATCACAATCGTTGAGGTTGGAAGAGACCTCTAAGATCATCAAGACCAACCGTCAACCCAACACCATCCTGCCCACTAAAACATGTCCTGAAGTGCCTCATCCACGCACTTCTTGAACACCTTCAGGGATGGTGATTCCACCACCTCCCTGGACAGCCTGTTCCAGTGTTTGACCACTCTTTCAGTAAGAAGTTTTTCTTAATATCCAATCTAAACCTCCCATCGTGCAACTTGAAGCCATTTCTTCTTCTGTCACTGGTTACATCGGAGAAGAAACCAGCACCCACCTCTCTACAACCTCTTTTCCTCAGTCTCCTCTTCTCCAAACTAAACAACTCCAGCTCCCTCAGCTGCTCCTTGTAAGGCTTGTTCTCCAGACCCTTCACCAGCTTTGTTGCCCTTCTCTGGGCACGCTCCAGCCCCTCAATGTCCTCCTTGTAGTGAGGGGCCCAAAACTGGACACAGTATTTGAAATGTGGCCACACAGTGCCGAATACAGGGGGAAGGATCACTTCTCTACTCCTGGTGGCCACACTATTCCTGATAAAAGCCAGGATGTTGTTGGCCGCCTTGGCCACCTGGACACGTTGCTGGCGCAAGGTCATCCTGCTGTCCACCAACACCCCC